CAGAGACTTGGAGGTTTGTCATGGTGGCAATTTCCTGGGCAAGGTACATGGCAAGTGACCAGGTGACAGGGTCAGAGTGCTGCATGTCTAGTCTCAGGGTGCCCCTCATTTTATAGATCTTGAGTGAGGGGGCTGCATCAACTCGTGGTCTGGGCTATTCAATAAGCTTGTGAGCCTGGTTTTTCTGATATGAATCTGTACACCCCTGCACTCTGTGCTTCTGATTAACTTGATAAGTTAGAGGTAGTCATTCTCGTTTGCATGAGTAATTTATTTACCAGTTTGTGCCTTATAGTGGTGCCCAGCAGGTGATGGTTGGACAAAGTGTGGAGTCATCCACCTCAGCAGTTGAATTCAAAATGGAGTAGATCATGGCAAACTACTGCTCTACAAGATAGAGCAACAAAGGGTTAGACACAGCCTGGAAACTGCTGTTCTATACGTCACGGAGTATCTCAGAACAGGGCACAGCATGCTCTCCATGGATATATAGATCGTGTTAGCTTTACCTCACTGTGACCAAAATACCCAAGGAGAACCACGTAGAGGAGGGAAGGTTTATTGGGGCTGGCTCATGGTTTCAGAGGTCTCAGTCACAGACGGCCAACTCCATTGCTCTGGGCCCAGGTGAGGCATCACTTCATGGGGGAAGGAAAGCTGCTCAGCTCACAGTGGGTTAGGAAGCAGAGAGGAAGGAGGAGGCCACAAGGAAGATGCATCTCCCAGGACCAACCCCAGTGCCCACCCCTCCATCCACACCCCACCTGCCTATAGTTAGCACCCAGTCAGCCCATTCTCACTGCATGGCTGATTAGTTACAGCTCTCACAGTCTAGTTGCATCAGCTCTGAACATTCCTGCCTTAACAGGAGCCTTGGGGGACACCTCACGTCCAAACCATAACACAGGGCATGCTGTAATCTTTTTTCAAACCAAAGCAATGAACTCCAAATAAATATAATTACTGGGAAATATTGTCCTCTGATCGTCATCTTATCAACCAGTACCTCAAGAGCAAATGGTTTATCACAGCCCCACAAGACAGCATAACACCCAGTACGGCAAAAAGAACCACTCAGGCTCTCAGTGTGCTCCCTGATGAGAAAACCCAGCTGGACTCAACCAAAACTTTCCTGTCCTTACCCTCAAAACATTTTCGAGAGGCTGAGTATTCCACAGGAAGGATGGGAAACCCAAGATGGATGACATTTCTGGAAGCTGCTGGGATTCCCCTGGAGTTCCGCCTGCAGGTAGGTTCCACTGGCCAGAAGCAGTGGAGCTCCTCTTCCTTAGAGACACTGCCGCCATAGCTGTGCAGCCCCAGGGCACCATCCTTGCTCTGGCTGCTAATTTTCCAAACTGCTACCATGGGGAAAGAGGCTAAACCCTGCCACTGGCTGTGCCACAAATACTGGGATTCAAATTGGCAGAAAAACAGGTTCATATAAAGTCAGCTTTAAAGGGAGACAGAGGGGACCTTTTGTTTGGTCTGAAATCACCATCATCAGAGAACTCAGGGGTGAAGAAAGCTTTTACAAAAGAAGAAGCGTCAAAGCCAGATAAAAGACAAGAAGTCCATTCTTGCAGTTTTGTCCAGGGCACCTCAGTCTCTTCCTAGCAGGAGGAAGATTTTATTCTCAGATGAGGAAGTTCAGAATTTAAAACAATTTTCAGGGATTGTTTTGAATCCTGCAGGAGCAAGTTATCTGGAAATTGCCCTTAATTGCAGAGGAAATCTCTTTCCCTTGGTTAGGAATGTGCTGGGGCAACTCCCCAGATAGCATCTCCAGTACAGGAGGCAAGGCAGGCTCCTGGGAGAGCCCCCCTGGGTGTGTGCACTGGGGAGACTCCAGCTCATGCAACCTCAGACACAGAAGTTCAAAGATAGTGAACAGGAATGACTTTGAGTGGGGAGTTCAGTGTTAAGGAGAGGACATAGGGCTAGGGTTGTAGCTTGTGGTCGAGCACTTGCCTCGCATGCGTGAGGCCCTGGTTCAATTCTCAGCATCACATAAAAAAATAAATAAATAAAAATAAAGATATTGTGTCCATCTACAACTTAAAAAAAATTAAAAAGAGATGAGGTTACAATAAGCAAAGTTTACTTCAAACACCTAGAAGAGGCAGCCCTTGGCTGGCTTTGTCTGGCTCCTCGTGGTTTCCTCTGGAGGGCTTGATCTGAAACAGAGCAGGAGCTGGGAGGGACACTTGGGGTCTTCAAAGATCTCCTCCATTGACTCCTGAGTCCCCGCACAAAAGGCAGCAGGACGGCCTGGAAAACGTGCTTTACTGGACCCAAACACTGCTCAGACAAGAGAGGGGCACAACAGGCAGGAGCACAGGAACCAGCAAGACTCTGGAGAGTCGGGGCACGTAAGAGGAGCCTCCATGGGCAAAAGGGTCCCAGAAGTCCAGGCAAGGCCACCCCACTGCACTGGACTTGTCCATGTCAGTGTCTGATTCAGGGTCCCTGGGGCTGGAGGGTTCTCGGCCACTGTTCACTGTTCAGGGTGGACAGTGGAGTGGATCAGATGGGCAGGCAAAGAGTCTCCTGTACCACAGGGGTACAGCCCCGTGGGGAGCAAGGTGGGAGGTGGGAGCCCAGCAGGGAGCCCGCATGCTGGCCCTTGCTTTCAAATACCCATGTATATCCTGGGGATGAAGGTCAGTAAGAAAAGCAGGCTGACATTGGGTTGCTGGGTGATGGGAAGGAGCCACCCAGGCCAGGGACAGAGGCAGCAGCAGCCTGGCTGACCTGAGTGCCACCAGGCTATGAGTGAGCAGTAGAGTGGTGGGATTTGAGGAAAGGAGAGAACTGGGCAATGAGCAAAGGTACACTTCACTCAAGGTCAGTGGTGGTCATCACAGAGTGCTCTGTGGTCTAAAGCTTTAACCTTCCTCCAGGCTCCCAGAGCCCAGGAGGACAGTGCCAGCCGGGATTTGGCAAAGCCTTCCCAAGGGAGGAGGGCACCTCTTCAAACCTGTTGCTCAAGGGGACACCTTCTGACAGACCTTCCAGGGAGCCAAGATTGTGGCCACCAACTGGATTCCAGGGTCATTTGCCCTGCTCCTAGGGCTGTGATGGGCTTCTAATACACCCACGGACACACCAAGAGACTGTCATAGGCCACAGGCTGAAGGTCCCAGAGTGCTGGGCTCAGGGTGTCTGGCACAAGGTGAGTGGCCCCCAGGTGCTTGAGACAGGGGCAGATCACCCAGGGAGGACAGAGGCTATGGCCATAAGGATGCCAAGAGCATTGAGGGCAAGGAGAGCTGGAGGGACCCCAGGGGACTACGGGGAAGCAAGTTGTGGCAGGAGAAGGGAGCTCAGCACTGGCAAATGCTAAAGAAAAGCACAGGCAGAGGAGGGGGACGGTGACGGCCTTGTAAACCAGGCTCAGGGCACATTGGAGTCTCAGCAGAGGGAGAGCACGGGTAAGGGAGGAGACAAATACAGTAAGATGGGCATGATGAGGTGGAGGCAGGGCCCCAAACGACTCTAGGTCATATTTAAAAATCAGGCCTAACAGGTGTTTAGAAAACAGAGAAGTGACCAGGTGGGGTACCAAGTATGAGAAAGAACTGGTGGCGACGAAGCTCTTGAGAGAAGAGAGTTGGGACCATGGTTCACCATCCATGGCCAGTAACATGCATCATCAGAGGTCGGGCGCCAGGGAGAGCCACTCCACCTGAGGTCCAGGTGGGGGGTGAGCTCCAGCTGAGGTCCAGGTGGGGGGTGAGCTCCAGCTGAGGTCTGGGTGTGGGGGGTGAGCTCCAGCTGAGGTCTGGGTGTGGGGGGGGTGAGCTCCAGCTGAGGTCCAACCTGAGGTCCAGGTGAGGGGTGAGCTCCAGCTGAGGTCTGGGTGTGGGGGGTGAGCTCCAGCTGAGGTCTGGGTGTAGGGGGTGAGCTCCACCTGAGGTCCAGGTGGGGGTGTGAGCTCCAGCTGAGGTCTGGGTGCCAGGGCGAGGGAGATCCACCTGAGGTCTGGGTATGACCTGTTCTCCAGGAAGTGGGACACAGCATGGACTTCCTGGGCTGCATGTTGGGACTGAGTCACAGAGAAGGGTGGGAAGTCACAGCACAGTGATAGCCAACGCAAGGGCACTGGCAGGAAATTCCTCTCCAGCCCAGGAGCCAACCTGGGCAGCTGCACTGGTGACCAGGGATGGGGGAACACAGGGTTGGGCCCTGTTTGCTGGGGACGCCAGACCCAGCAAGGCAGAGGCCATAGCCATGCACTGCAGTCCCTGTGCCAGAGCTCCTCTGCCTCATGCCAATAAAATCAGAACCAGAAAGCAGTGGAGGAGGCAGGGTCATGTCCCATCTTCTAAGGCCTCTAGGGACTTACCTGGCTCAGTACGTCCAGGCTGAACAGGGCTTGGCCAACTGCTGCTTCTGGATACAGAACCCAAGACCAGGGACAGGAGTCCCTCTATATCTTGGGGGAGCAGGAGGAGCCTCCCTGGGGGCCTCAGGTGGACAAAGCTCTAATCATAGAGGAAAAAGAGTAATGTGGTGGGCAACCATGGAGCAGACCCTGGGGCAAAAGGGGCTGCCAGACAGGTCCTGGGGAATGGCGTCCTCAGCCTGACTCACCAGCGGCTCCCGTCCTGGTGACAGTGCCCAGGCAACGTGTCAGGCATGGGGCTTGTGGCTCTGAAGCCACAGTCACCCTTTGGGAAGAGTGAGGGCAGCTGGCCTGGGGGGTAAAGCCTGCCTAGGAGGGCGTGGGGATGGAGTGGACAGATAGACTCAGCCGTCCTGGAGCCAGGGAGCCCTCTCCAGGAGTCAGAGGTCAGGGCTCACCTGCCCAGGTGGGGCAGGCTGGTGCAGCCACAGGCCCGGGCTGCCTTCTCAGCTCCTGTCCTGTGACCACATCCCAGGCCCAAGGCAGGGGCCCTGGCCTCAGTGCAGAACTGGGCAGTGGCTTCAGAGGTCCACCCTAGGGGGCGCGGCCGTAGCCAGGGCTCCGTCCTCAGCAGGCTTTTCTCCCCTCACAGGATCCCCACTTCAGCCCCTTCGCAGATGAGCTCACAGACTATGTGACCAGGAGCATCCTGGCCGCGCCCATCATGAACGGCAAGGAAGTCGTCGCAGTGATGGTGGCAGTGAACAAGCTCAGCGGCCCCTGCTTCACCAGCGAAGACGAAGATGTGAGTGTGCAGGGCTTGAGGCCACATCCCTACATGCTCCTGCTGCACGGTCTCCTAGCTGCAGTGCTGTGCTAGCACCTGCCTACACTTGTGTGTACATCTGTGTGTGTGAGCCACACCCTTCTGCACACCTATGCACTAGCCACATCCCTTCTACACACCTGTGTGTGAGACACATCCCTTCTGCACACTCACATAGGAGAGCCACGTCCCTCCACATGCTTATGTGTGAGCCACATCCCTTCTTTCTGCACACCCATGTATGATAGCCATGCCTTTCTGCATACCTATGCATTAGCCACATCCCTTCTGCACACCCGTGTGTGAGCCATGTCTCTCTGTACAACTGTGAGTCACGTCCCTTCTGCATACCCGTGATCCACGTCCCTCTGCACACCCATGTATGAGAACCACACACTTCTGTACACTTATTCATGAGCCACATCTCTTCTGCATGCCTATGTGGGAGCCATGTGTGTCTGCACACCTGTCAGTCACATCCCTCTGCACACGGTGTATGTGAGCCGTGGGCCTGCACCATGCACCTGAGCTTGTGTGAGCCCACACCAATAGGTGTGTGAACTGGCTGCCGGCATGTCTGTGCATGTATGGTGGTCCTCAGCAGCCTGGGTGCTCATTCCTTCTGCAACCTGGGATTGCTGACTCCTGATGCACAATGGCTCTTTCAGGTTTTCAAGAAATACCTGAATTTCGCTGGGTTGAACCTGAAGATCTATCACTTGAGCTACCTTCACAACTGTGAGACACGCCGAGGCCAGGTATGTATAGTGCGGCAGGGCTGGCCTCCAGCCCTGGCCTTCCATGCTCTTGAGCTGGCCCATCCTCATGAGTGGCCAAGACCATGTGCTCTGTGTGGGCCAGACATGACTCTGGTCAGGCGGGCCCCAGTCCCCTGCTCCTGCCCCTGCCCATATGAAGCTGGGTGGTGGAGATGCTGTGCTCACCTGGGCAGGTGGGGCTGCCCCAGGAGGGAGGGACTGTCTTCTGTGACTGAGCTGAAGCTGGGGGGCAGGAAAGAACTCTGCAGGGTCAGAAGTGCAGGAGGTCCCACAATTTTCAGACACATCCTGCCGGCCATGGAGGGGCTGATGGCTCGGAGTCCTGGAGCTTAGTGATTGAGCTCCCTGGCAGGTTTGGCCCTGGCTGAGACTGGAATCTACTTTCTGTGAGAGCAAGGGACACGGGGTGGGGGTGGGGTGTCCCCTAGGGTCAGTGCCTCCTGAGCTGCAGAGGTGCCTGAAGGACCCTACAGCCTGAGTCCCCCTCACCCTGAGGCCTGAATAAATGTTGAGCAGGCAGTACAAGGGTCCAGGACTGAGAAAACCATGCCCAGGGTGCCCCAGGGCCATGGACGGCAGCAGGCCCTCTGTGCCACTTCTCGCTCTGCTTCGGCTGCAGTGAGCCAGGCCCTGGTCCCCTGCTGCAAACCTGTTAGAAAAAATGAGAGGCCGCTTTGCCTAGGCCCCGCGTGCTGCCCCAGCCCCACCCTAACTCACCTTTGGCTCCTGGACCTCTTGGACTCAAGTTAGAGTCTGAACTTTCTGGCACTACAAGATATACAGGCTTCTTTGTACGCCTCCTGCCCAGTCCTGGATTGGCTCCTGCTCCAAGGAGACCTGTTCCCTGTCATGTTCCACAACTAAACATTCAGGGTCACTCCAAGTGAACTGGGCTGCGAGAAATAATCAGAGACAGAGGAATATCTTTTTCTTTGGGTCCTGTGAGGGCTCCCCTGACCTTCGGATCCGTGGAAGAGCATGGAGCACACGCTGAACCCTTTTATTGGGAAGAAGCCATTCAAATGAGGAAAGGGGTCAGGTTTCAGGGGGTTGAGTCTAGCTTTGGATATCTGCTGTCAGCAGGTTGACTGACATCTGAGAAGAAGGCCATGCCCATCCCAGGAGCCGTGTGGGGATCATGGCAGAGCAAGTGAAAAGACCAGAGCGAGGCCTGCCCAAACAGAGGGGCAACATCAGTCCAGTCCACCCTGTGCGCTCAGGGCCCGTAGTTCACACACACACAGCCTGTGGCTGCTTGCCACACCTCCTCACTCTCATCACTCAAGGCTAAGAGGCGCTCAGTTCCTATGAGGTAGCTCCTGACAGTTTCCTTGATCAGAACGTGGTGTTAGGAGACAAGTCCAGGTGCTGCGCATGCTCTCTGCTGCAGGGCAGTCCTGCTTCCAGACCCTGTCTGCTGACATAGAGTGCTAACTTGAGTGTACATGTCTGTATTTCTACATGCAGCTGTCTGCTTCTGGATGAGGTTAAACATGAGTGCTCAGCCTGCTCCTCTTGTGATGTGTAACTTCCCACCCATCCTGCCTCCCGCCCCTCCCACTCACTCGCTTGTTCAGAACCTGGTGTAAGGATTGTTAGCCTTTATCCAGCCGAGCACAGCACTACACAGATTCCTGTGCCCTCAATCTCACAGATGCCACTCATTTCCAAAGTTACAGAAACAAACCCCTTTTCCCCAGACCCTGCGGAAAGGGAGTATAGTAGTACATTTGTAATGCCGTGAAAGTCTCCTGTCACAGTCTCCTGTCAAGGAAGCCTTGAATCCGTCAACCCACTTAATTGATTTGTTTGCACACATTAAGGTTAGTCTTTGCACTTTGAAAAGTGCAGTGGGCCTCACCACATGCATAATGACATATATCTGCCATCACAGTGTCATAAAGAGGACCTCCTTGCCTTAAGAACACCCAGCCACCTGCTCGCTTCCCCCACACCCACCTGATCCCAGGGAGCCACAGAGCTGCTACAGGTCCACCTTTTCTGGAACCACAGGCAGTTGGTATCTCCCAGTGTGTAGCCCTCCATGTGGCTTCTTCCACTTAGCAGCATGCACATAGGTCCCTCTGTGTGTCTTTGTGAGGGGATCACTCTCTCTCTTTGTATTGCTCAGGAGTATTTCCTGGTCTGGATCTACCACAGTTTGTTTACCCCTCACCCACTGAAGGGCGTCGTACTAGAGCCCAGCTGGGGGCGGTTCTAAAGCTGCCATGAGCATCTGTGAGCAGGTTTTTGTGTGATAGGAGCTTTCAGCTCAGTAGGCTGGGCATCAGGGGGCACCGCTGCCAGCTCACAGGGACTGACCATGCTCAAGTGCGAGAAGCTGCACCTCATTCCTGGCAGCAGTGAATGAGGACCCCCCGGCTGCATGCCCGCGCACTCCGTGCCCACCGAGTGGGGCCTAGGGCCCGTGACTGATGCACAGTGCCAGGGTCAGGAGGCGGCAATCTTATCTGTCGCCAGCACGTCTTCTTCTCTGTTGAGGTGTCTGTTTGGCTCTTCTTTAAACTGGGCTTTTTTCTTATGGCTTAGTTTTAAGAGTTTCTTGAATATTTGGACACAAGCTCATGAACATATATGTGCTTTGCACATATTTTCCCCCAGGATGTGGCTTGTCTTTTCACTCTATTAATAGTATATTTGGCAAAAAAAAAAAAAGAAATTTTAAATTTTAGTAAAGTCCAGTTTCTGAGATATAGAAAGTCCAGTGATCCGTTTTCAGAATATGAGTATTTAGCCTTAAATGTAATATTGGGATGTAGGAAAAACAGCAGTAGGGGAGAACAGGACAGAAGGTTACAAGCAGTTAATGCCTGAGTGTGACTGATTCACAGCCCTGTGACAAACAGGAGGTGGGGGAGGACTGACCTGGTCAAGGAAGATCAAGGCACAGTGCACTTCCCCAGGGCACAAAGGGAGGCGGGGACAGCCAAAAGAATGTTTCTTCAAGTGACCCAACCAGGAGATAATAAGACCTAGGGGACATTGGAGAAGACCACGCACCTTGTGGTCAACCAGCAAGGCATAAGGGGCGGGACTTGTGCACTAGGGAGTGAGCACTGACTGAGACTGGTCTGGATGTGCCTGCTCTCTGACATCTGCTCTGGCAGGACCGCCATTAGTAGCCTCACTTCTCTGTGCCTGTGGTCTCAGTCCACTCTTTGGATTTGGACAAGTGAGCATGTTTCTTACACACTTACCTTGGAGGGGGGACACTGAGAATTTAACTGAGGAGTGCTGCATTCAGTTTAGAACAGATAGGAACCGGGGGAACAGAGACCCAGAATCTGGGAATTCAAAAACTAAATTTCCATTCAGTTCAGTAACCTGAACTGAATCCCCAGCCCTTTTATTTCAAGACAGAATCTCTCTAAGTTGTCCCAGTTGGCCTTGGACTTGACATCCAACTTCCTCAGACTCCTGAGTTGCTGGGATTGAGGTGGGCGCCACTAAACCAGGATCCGTGCTATATCATATATATTCTTTGTGGGGCTGAGGGTGTAGCTCACTTCATAGAGTGCTTGCCTTGCATGCACAAGGCTCTGAGTCAATCTCCTTCACCAAAAACAAAAAATATATATATTTTCTTATTGCATCGTACTTTATGCTGCACCTGAAATCTCCTCTCAAACCACAGGAGGCCCAAATTACTCCTGTGTCAATATCCTATATACCTATGTCTTATAGACCTATGTCTTACATATGCTCAGATTCATCTTATAAAAGTTGTAAACTATGGCCTAGATTAATTTTTTAAATTTTCTTGTAGTTGTAAATGGACAGAATGCCTCTATTTGATTTATTTTTATATGGTAATGAGGATGGAACCCAGGGCCTCATGCATGCTAGGCAGCTCACTGCCACAGAGCTACAGCTACAGCCCTAGATTCATGATTTAATGTAGGTGTCTACTTGCTCAATTTCAACCATTTAGGAAAGACAGTACTATCTCTGTCTTGATGGTGTCCCTCCGAATCAAAGTTCAGAAGTCTTGGTGTCAACAGTTATATGGGTCTCTGTTTCTGCTTTTTATGCATGTGGTAAAACTCTGTGGATCGGTACTGAGACCTCATGGGGATTATGGGTGTCTGCTCCCCCGTTTCCTCTCTGTTCTGCTCTCTGTGGCTGAGTGGTGAGTCCTGGTGGGGTTCTGGGTCTCTGTCCCTTCCTCTCCTCTCTGTTCTCCCCTCTGTGGCTTTGTGATGAGTTCTGGTGGGGTTCTCGGTATCTGTCCCTCCCTTCCTCTCTGTTCTGCTCTCTGTGGCTGAGTGCTGAGTCCTGGTGAGGTGTAGATCTCTGTCCCTCCCTCTCCTCTCTTTTCTGCTCTCTGTGGCTTAGTGGTGAATCAAATGAAGTGTGGAGTAGGAGTGATGAGAGGGCATATCCCTTCCCCAGGCCCAGTTTTAGGGGAAAGCATCTGGTGTCTTTTCATCACGTGTGACAACAGCTATGGGCAGGTAAAAATTTTTTTAAAGGTTAAGGAAATTCCTCCAGGCACAATGGTACATGTGTGTAGTTCCAAACACTCAGGAGGCTGAGGCAGGAAAACTTCAAGTTTAAGACCAGCCTCATTAACTTAGTGAGGCCTGATATCAAAATATCAGGGGATGTGGGTCAGTGTTTAAGCACCCCTGGGCTCAACTCACAAAAGTTAAGGAAATTCTTCCTGTTTCTAGTTTCTGAGAGTTTTTATTCTGAATGAGTGTTGGATTTGATCAAATGCTTTTTCTGCATTAATTGGTAAGATTTTTCCTTTAACCTTTTCATGTGATGGATTACATTAATTGATTTTTAAATGTTGAACCAGCCATGTACACCTGGAATAAATGTCACTTGGTCGTGAAATATCATCTTTTTCATACATTGTTAAATTGGCTTTTGCCAAGATCTTCAGAATTTTAGCATCGATGTTCATGAACTACCTTGGTCTGCAGTTTCTCTTTATTGCATTGTCTTATCTG